ATAGCAATGGCCTCCAAGCTACTTGCGATGGCCTCCAACCTACTTGCAATGGCCTCCAACGTATTTGCGATGGCCTCCAGCCTAATAGTGATGGCCTCCAAGCTACTTGCGATGGCCTCCAACCTACTTGCAATGGCCTGCAGCCTAATAGCGATGGCCTCCAACCTACTTGCGATGGCCTCCAACCTATTTGCGATGGCCTCCAGCCTAATAGTGATGGCCTCGGACCTACTTGCCATGTCCTCCAACCTACTTGCGATGGCCTCCAGTCTAACAGCGATGGCCTCCAACCTACTTGCGATGACCTCCAACCTAGTTGCGATGGCCTCCAGCCTAATGGCGATGGCCTCCAGCCTAATAGCGATGCCCTCCGACCTACTTGCGATGGCCTCCAGCTTAATAGCGAGGGCCTCCAACCTAGTTGCGATGGCCTCCAGCCTAATGGCGATGGCCTCCAGCCTAATAGCGATGGCCTCCGACCTACTTGCGATTTCCTCCAGCTTAATAGCGAGGGCCTCCAACCTAGTAGTACGGTATTGTCATGTTCGGAACTTAAACAAAGCGTTGGAATCAAAACGCCAAGGAACAGCTGCCAACGCTCATCTACAGGAAGGTTCTTGATGGCTCGAAATTCATTCCTCGGGCAGACCACCGGTATAAAAATGTGTAGCTTCTTGTTACTAGTAGTAAGAATGCTCCTAGCAGCGATGCCAGGAGCCCCCAGTAGCGTCCTTGCTCCTAGTAGTAAGGCCAGGAGCCCCTAGTAGCTTCTTGTTACTGTCTATTTTTCTGTGTTTGTTATCTTTCTTTTCTAGCCCGCTCCTACTTAATTAAGTGGGCACCTAAAGGAAGGGCGAAACTAGTTTGCCACTAGGAGAAGGTCGCTCCTGGAATCTGCCCCCACCTGAGGGCGGGGGGAGCATTCTTGAAGAAGCGCTCGCACTGGAGCGCTTTTGGTTCCTAGTTTTTTAGGGACACTTTAGGTCAAGAGCTCCACGCAAACACAACAGGGAAAAAGGTATCAAGGCTCAAAAGAAAACAAGAAACGAAGAAATGAATTCCAATCTAAGAAAATTGAACATATCAAAGAAAGACTAGGGCCACTAGGGCTACTAGGGCCCGGGCACAGTTGGAAGGACTCTTGGGATGGTGTGGCAGTTTGCAGGTCTCTTTGGGCACCAGCGCTTGAGGAATTGCTCGGACTGTCCAGTGAAAGCATTGGTCTTGCGGTTCTTCGTTTGGTCATTCTTTGACAAAGCATGTTTGTTAGCAAGGAGTAGTAAGAGTTGCATGGCTGTCTTCAACGACTCTTGTTCAAACCTGTGGCTTTATCTCATCAGATCGGAATTCTACTCAACATCTGCTTTCGCCTCCACCCTACTAGCGATGCTTTCTGAGCTGCACCTGGATGACCAAATCTGGTGCAAACTTTAGCTTCACCTGTGGGGCCTCAAATGCACCCGTCATACAGTCGCTAGATGATGCAAACAAAATGCAATCGATCCAACCCACACGAAACCTCATCTTGTTGCTCATCATCTTCCTTGAATTTCTTTTCCTCACAAAGAAGGAACATAATGCGTTACAGAAGCTGAATTCACAGTGTGCGTGTCACTAGAACGAAGAGTTTTGTCTTGGAAATCAAGGGAATTCTTGGACATTCTGTGACAATCCATTCATACCATTCTTCCATCCGGAAAAACTCAGACATTCAATCTCTGTGAAAGTCTTGTGGCTCTGCGCTCCTTGCTAGCGGATTCCTCCTGCTTTTTGATGTCTGCTTCGATGTCTGAGGCTCGTGGGAATTGTTCCTGGAGCTTCTCAGACATCTTGAGCAGCTGTTCCTCGGGCGTCAACGAATGCTGTAAAGAGCAGGAGACTGGAGCAAGAAGAGGAAACAACATTTAAGAAAACCAAATCGTTGTTTTCTTTTGTTTAAAGATTTAAAAAACATATCCTTTCGATTGATTATACAAAGGGTTCGAACCTGAAGACGGAACGCAACGGGATTTCTTCATATTTCTTCTACGTCTCCTTCACTTCAAAAGGTAGTGAGATGAAAAGGACAAACAAAAGATAGAGCTCAAAATGACAAGAAACAGAAAGGCTACAGCGGCTACAGGAGGGTCGTGATAATTCTTCGAAAACAGCTTGACATGTTCTGCACTGACATCGATTGACCCCTGGGCAACTAGCCATGGGATGGTCATCTGCCACTAAAGTCAAGCCTGTCAACTCATAAGATAGCTTGAGACAGTTGATCAATTACAAACAAGTTCCCTCAGCTATATTCAGATCATAAAAAAGATCGTGACACAAAATCGGCCTGGGAATGCAAAAGCATTGCCGAAAAGCATCTCGGCTAGGTCGAACTGCGGGAAAAGGTTGTCACCCGCAGAGTCTCAGTTGCGCCAGTCTCACAAGCATCTGGCAGTCTTGGTCAAACGTTCACTGTGGTCAATGTTCCTTTTGAATTCGTGACACTAGATAAGCCAATGACCTGGATGGCAAAAAGCCTGGCAAACGAGGCATAAACAAGTCAAAGAAAGATGTCGGAAAGAGCGGGGTTGACTAGAGAAGTTCTGTGTGTGTGTGTGGGCGTCTGAAATTTTGTTTACATGCTTTTGCTCGTGCGAAAGCATTTTTGGTGTAGCCAGGGTAGATTGTGACAAACATGCTGAGCCCTTTAAATCTTAGCACCTTGTTCCTTCTTTTTTTCCGTGCTTTACATGCTTACGTTACCCGCCAATTAAACCTGAGCACCTTGTTTTTGTCTTGTAAACGGACTTTTTTTCTAATGCGAAGGGTTCCCGTTGGAGCCGTGTTCGCGTGACGTTGCTTTCGTGTTCACCATCGGTCGTTCGGGGGAGGCGTGGAAACGTGGATTCTGATTTTCTGCCTTTCCTTGGCGATTGCCGGTGTCTTTTGGAGGTTTGGGTCAGTGTTGCTGTGACATGTTCGCTTTTCAGGCCCTTGACTCAGATGTCTGTGTGTGTGTTCCGAAAGTGTCAAAGTCATTGCCAAACGTGTGGTGCGGTTCAATTCTTGCTGGGTAACATTTTTCGTGGCAGGCGCAGGGCGTCGTGAGTTTGGTGGAGGTGAATGTCGCTGTTTCATTAGCGTGTCGGCGGCAGGTTTGAAGGGCTGGGGTTGCGAAATTGCTTGGCGAGGGTGCTTGATGTGCTTGCTCTGATGAGACTTCTTGCTTTACTTTTCGAGTGGGTCTCATGCGAAACGCTGATTTTGGAGACTTGACGAGTGTGTCCGACAAGAGTGTCCCACTAACGTGCCCAACAAGAGTCTCCCACAAAGGTGTCCCACCAGAAAGTGCTTCAAGACTGCCCCACAACAATATTCCACAAGAGTGTCTTACAAGGACGTCAAACAATGTTGAGTCATTTGTTTTCGAGTGCGTGTGTGCATTCAGGTTTGTGGGCTCCATCTTGTCTGAGGGGGTAGGCCACTCTTAGGGTGGAGGCCATCGCTACTAGTAACAAGAAGCTACTAGTAGCAAAGGGCATCGCTACTAGGAGCAAGGACGCTACTAGGGGCTCCTGGCCGTACTACTAGGAGCAAGTAGCTACTAGCAACAAGAAGCATGTAATTTGACAACTCACATGGCACTTCACTTCGGGCGCTGTCCTTGACGAATTCATCGTCATTTTGATCCGCGACACAGCTGAGTAGATCCATGGCCTTGGATTTGGTACCGGCACAAGCAATCGCACAAATCCACAGCATGTCTGTGCGCTTTGCAACATGAAAACTGTCCTGCAATTATTTCACCCCACTGCATCTTTTCTGCCAAAAAGCATAGCTTCTGATGGACCTCAGCAAGGGATCCAATCTGACCTCTACACCGTCTGCAACTGCCTTCGTTCTGCGCCGGTTTAACATGAGCGATTGGCCGAAGAGGTTCAACTCACTCCAGGGTTAGAGATTGCACTTGGAACTGTTCGCTTTTGCTCCGGAATGGCACCGTCATGTTTTTAAGCGATGCCCCCAGCAAGGACATCGACTCGCACACACGGGCGCAAGCAAGGCGAAGCAAGGCAATGCGATTGCAAGCAAACAAGCAAAGCAAGCTCTTGCGTGGCAGTGTATTGGTCTTCAGTGTGTTACATCTGTTTGTGCTAAAATTAGACATGTGTCTTGAAGTGGGACATGTCCCAGAAGCTGATGGTTGATGGCAGGGATTTTCAAGATTGCAACGAACCCTGAATTCTTCTCAAAAAACCGATTCTAGACACAGTGACACAAAACTTGAATGCCAACGGCTTTGTCTGGGGGCAAGACGCATGGTGCAACTCTGAGAGGTCCGCAAACTTCTCTTCCGGCAAAGTCTCAGAGCAAAAGTAGGGTTTTTTCTTCTAGCCAGCTCCTCCAACATAGCCTCCAACCTAATGGCGATGGCCTCCAACATAATAGCGATGACCTCCAACCTAGTGCCTTCAACCTAATAGCGATGGCCTCCAACTTAATAGCGATGGCCTCCAACCTAGTAGCGATGGCCCCCAACCTAGTAGGCGCGAGAGAAAGATTGTACTAAGGGCCAACCCCCCAAAAATGCCTTCGCAACCTGCGTACGGTTTGTGCTTTTGTGTAACATTTATTTTGTTTGACGTGCGACCAAGTGCAACATGGCTCGGCCAAGCACTACGGATCAAGCCGTCAACACTGATGCATCGGTTGAATACGTGTTGAATCGTGTCAATCGTGTCGACGCGGTTTTTGTTCGAAATAAGCTCAAACTGGACCCTACTCTCTTTGGATCAATTTGGCCAGTCCAAACCAAGCGCAAAGAATGGATGCATCTAAGGCCCAAACCATCTGCTTTTTGAAGCCATCCTTGAGCTTGCCGTCCTTTCAATGAACAGCTCCTCTCTCCTAATAATAGATATACAGTATTGTGTTTTGTCATCAAATTTTATTGCATGCATTGTAAAGCTCCGTTTGAAGTCACCCGCCGTCTAAGTTGTTGTTGGTTGCCCTTGGTTTTCATTTTTTTCAGCGCACAAGCGCGGTCTTGAAACTATGTCATCCTCATTGTCCCAGCGACAAATAGTTGCATTTCTATTGTTGATCTCTTTTAATGGACTGGGCGACAAAGAGGGCATGAGGCTCTCATTTCGGAGACTCTGTGAGCTGATGAAATGGTATCTCGCTCCTTGCCTTTCTCCATTTCAAACAACCCAAACCCAATAGCAATGGCCTCCAACCTAACAACACAGAACCGATCCAAAGACAAACTGGAGATATCATTCCTTCGCTGGAACCACACTCTGGCAATGTCTTTGCCGCGTGGAGCTGTAGCCCCTTCCAGCAAAGGTCACCAGGTGTTATAGTTTTACTGTTCTAAGAACCCATAAGACCCCAATGCGATTTTGTTTCCCACGAAGTCTTGTGGTTCGTTTCGATTGGCCTCCCTCACTCGACAATGCCTGCCAAGTTTTTGGCCAGCCTCAGGCTCACCAAGCTGACCAAACTGAACTACCCTCACGGACGTACCCTGTTGTACAATCAGAAATTACCAAGCGCGCACGCTGGCAAACTAGACAACAGCTCCCCATCGATCTCTTAAGTTTCCCAAATGAAGGTGCTACGAGCTACCTCTCCCTTAATTATATGGCGCCGACTTAATTAAGTAGGGAAGGGGTGGAGGTCAGCCAAAACAGAAATAAAGAGCACTAGGAACAAGAAGCTACTAGGGGCTCCTGGCCGTACCACTAGGAGCAAGGACGCTACTAGGGGCTCCTGGCATCGCTACTAGGAACAAGAAGCTAGTAGAAACAATCAGCTACTAGGAACAAGTGCATCGCTTCTAGTAACAAGTGCCTTACTACTAGGAACCGTTTCTTAAATTGGTTTAATTTAATTCTAACTTACTTTAAATCTAATTATTGTTTCTACTAGCTTCTTGTTACTAGTAGTAAGGCACTTGTTACTAGTAACAAAGGTCCGAGGAACCGTTTCTTGGTTTCGAGGTCGAAAAGGCGTTGGATGAGGACGCGCTGTGCCTGCGGAGACCCTGCGCCATGGAGGCTTTCGCCTGCAAAGCAGGGTTTAAACTTAAGCCAAGCAGCGCACTCCAGAGGCAGGATAGTAAACTGAAAGACTGAATGATAAACAGATAGCAACGGAACAAACTTGTTTGAGGTGTTTAAACAAACGTTTCACATACATCACAGTTGTCCAAGCTGCTAAGATAGCCGACAGCATTCCTGACGAATTGAAGGCTTCTGAGTTTGAAACACTAATGTTTCTAGATTGTTGCTTTTTTCAAATGCGTCTTGTTGCAGCTGCAAGCTCCTCCCCATTGTCATGTTCTCGATCAGTCGCAGGATACGGCGTCGGTTCTCCACTGTCACTCCCTTCTTGCCCTTCAAATACTTCTCAAGCAGAGGTCCAGCAACGTCATTACCTTGTGAAAACGGGAAAGCAACCGACATGTAATGTCCTTGTTACTACTGGCGATGTCCTTGTTACTAGTAGACAAATAGCTTCTAGCTACTAGTCGTAATTCACGATGAACAAAAATGCAGAAAAATACATGTTGTAATCTCACCTTGACATGTCAAAAAGATTTGGCCAGGGGGCGGAACTCCTTGTCTGCTGGCAAAGTCACAATGATACCACCAGCCAAGTCCTTCGGAACAGGAATCGCTCACCTTGTACTCACCTGCAACCTAAAAGCAATGGCCTCCAAACCTAATAGCTACTAATAGCGTCCTTGCTCCTAGTAGCGATGCCAGGAGCCTCTAGTAGCTTCTTGCTCCTAGTAGTAAGGCCAGGAGCCCCTAATAGCTTCTGGTTCCTAATAGCAATGGCCTCTAACTTTGTCTACCAGAACCAGTGGGTAACTTCATTCCTGCGCCAAGCGAGCAATTTCGTAGGGCAGCTTGGTGACATTGTGCTTGCCTCAATCAGTTGTCACCACCGGGTTCAAAGCAATTCCTTTCGACCGACTGCACACTGTGTTGCGCTATCACCTGTGAAACTTGGGGCAATTGCAAATGTTTGCCATCCTTGGATCAAAATGCGGCATGTATTTAGTTGCTAAATAAAAGAGCAAACAAATAGTCGTGTTTTGGAGGTTGGCAAAGACCATAGGCAAAACAAAGTACAGAATCTCAGTACAAACCAGGCATCATTACATCTGGCAAGAAATTCCCAGAAGGAGTTGCCTGTCCACCATAGGACGAAGCCATAGCAGTCCCTGCAATATTTTCATTTAAATAAGCAATCTCCACCAGCTTGTCCTCCAAGTTGCTGAAAAAGTTGCTGAAATATTTAGCAGCCAAAAAAGCTTGTCTTTTAGTGAAGCATGTCTGAAGCATGTCTTTTAGTCTTATACTGTCAAAAAGCATTGCATATTGAGACCAAAAAAGGTGCCAGAGATGCGTTGCGTTCTCATAAAGATGAGACATTCTTGTGAAAAGGCTCCAAAGCAGCATTTACAATTTACAGACCTAGAAACGTTCTGTAAAAGAATGCGTTCTTGTAGTTAGAGCTAGGCCTTTAGGCTGAGGTTGAAAACCGGAGGTGAGGGCCGCTTCGGCCGCTTGCGCCTTGATGTGCGAAGCTTTGGCCACTCCATTGTAGTCCGCCACTGTGGCAGCAGCACCCAGCATCACATCACCCAAGCCTGCTTTACACACATAGGAGCCTAAGACAAGCAGGCTACTCAGGCAACTGGCTATCTGGGAAACAAGGTCGGATCATGTGTCCGAGCTGGTGAGAATTCTCTTGGGATAGAACGGCGATGATACGCAGTGAATCGCTCCACCAGAGTTTGAGTAAAGTCCACCTCGCCGTCCATGAAAATATACCTAAGCCGCAATGGCCTCCAACCTACTTGCGATGGCCTCCAACCTGATAGCCATCAACATACCCAAGCTCTGAGAGTTGTTGTTACTATAACTCCTAAGAGGATCAGAACACTTGGAAAAGTGCCGCTTCGGGGCCTGTGTGCCTTTTACTCGCAAACACTTTGATGCTGCGCCAAAGTGTTTGAAAAGCTGCCTAGCCCATCGACAAAACCTCTCGAGGCCTCTTGGCCTATCAGCCTATCAACAATGTCATGCAGCAAAAGTCATCTTTTTCCAGCACCCACAAGAGATCCAGGTAGTGATATGGCCTGATGTCCTTTTGAGACTGTGGAAGGACTCATGTTATGAGCAGGCTAAAGATATTTATTCAAAGGATGCTTCACACCCAACTTGAATGCCCTGCACTAGGACTTCAAAGCCTGAGGCACTCTGGTGGCACGTAGACATCCTCGAAGCATGTCAACGTCTCCTGCGACGTTCTCGAACGCTCGAGAAGATGCTGCCGATCTACGATCTGGCCACACCTGGCCACCAAACTTGGCGTTGCCCTGGTCAATGTCTCCTCGAAGCGAAAACAAAACTCAAGCATTGACATATATTTCATATTGTTCGGGAACAACTTACAGTAAGGCCGCAAAAGCCTCAGAGATGGAACTCAACATGCCTTAGAAGGGCATCGTGACGTGCCACGGCGGTATTTCGCGGCAGGAGTAGCCTGGTTCCATGGCACGCAAGTCGCAGCTCTGCCTTCCGTAGATGTAGGTAAGACCTACAACACTGCAAGTAGGTCTTCCATGGCAAACTGACTTCTGGTCGGTGAAGCTGATCACAAATTAACATCTGAGTTCGTCGCCAGGAGCATCCACTGGCACAGCGCACGCAATTGCATAGTCCTTTTCGCTGTATGCTCAATGTTTTGTGAAGAAGCTCTATCTCAAAAGAACTCATTTGGGTGGGAGGCCATCGCTATCATTGCTCTTAGGATGGAGGCCATCGCTAGCAGGTAGGACGCCATTGCTAGTAGGTTGGAGGCCATCGCAACTAGGTTGGAGGCCATCACTAGTGGGTTGGAGGGCACCGCTAGTAGGTTGGAGGCCATCGCTAATGGCGGCCATCGCTAGTAGCTAGGTTGGAGCTAGTAGGTTGGATCGTGGGTTGGAGGACATCGCTAGTAGGTTGCAGGTCATCACTAGTCGGTTGAAGGCCATCGCTCGTAGCTTGGAGGCCATCGCTCCAGGTTGGAGGCCATCGCTGCTAGGTTGGAGAAGAACTCGTTCAAGTCTCCTTGTCTGCCACCTCCATCTTGCCACCAGGCATAATGATCATCCAGTGGGAGTTTAGATTTCCAGTCCTGGGCCAGTTAACGTCACGCACAGCGTCCTTTGCTCCGTTCGTAGCGATGCCCTTTGCTCCTAGTAGCTTCTTGTTACTAGTAGCGATGCCCTTTGCTACTAGTAGCGTCCTTTGCTCCTAGTAAGGCCAGCCCCGAACGTAGCTTGTTCGGCCCAAAGGGCTGATGGGCTTTGCAGCCCCGCAGAACCACCCCACCATCCGGCTTTCTCTCAGAGACACGGACAAACATGTCTGGGTCCTGCAGAAAACGTCATGTTCTACATGCGAACCGGCCAGATGATAACAAGTGCCTTCGGAAGGCAGCAACATCTGGGAGAGGGATTTACAAATAGTTCAGCAAAGCATGAACTGATCGACAAGGAATTAGGCAAGCACGCGCAGTCATATCACGAAGCTTGAATCATATCTTGCTGAAACGATTTCTTCGTGATCTTTGCTCTGTTTGCAGAGCAATTTTCCCAAGAAGCATATTTCAGTGAACAAGTGCATCGCTTCTAGTAACAAGTGCCTTACTAGTAGTAACAAGAAGCTAGTAGAAACAATATATAAATTAGCCGTGGACCTCTCAGAGCAAGTTCATTAGTTAGAATTTAATGTGATTTAAGTTAATTCTAATTCTAATTCTAGTAGCTTCTTGCTACTAGTAGTAAGGCACTTGTTACTAGTAGCGATGCACTGGTTCCTAGTAGCTTCTTGTTTCCAATAGCATATTTAAGTGGTCTTTGGTCTGTGGGTTGATGCATCTCCTGCTGCTCGGATGGGTTCAAGCTTCGATCGCCTAGCACCGCTCTGCAAAGCGCTGAATGCGAATTGCAATGCCAACCCCATCCGACACTTCAAACGTCGACTTGGTCCCATGTGGGACTTGTAGTCCCAACTGAAAAGCACAAAAAGGAAAAACACCGCACATGTTTTAGCACCTTTACGGCGTAGATGTTTCCGAAAAGAGAAAAAGGCCTCACTCCATCTCACTCCTCAGTGTCTTGTTCTGTTTCTTGTGCTTCTCTTAGCCTTCTCTTAATTCTTCACATCTGCAGAACAAGTGGAGCGCCTTTCACATCTGTCATGGCTCCACCGAGGACCAGGTTTTTGCTTTGAGCCATGATCATGAACTCCTTGAAGCGAGCGTGATAGTTGGTGCCATGCCTCGGAAGAAAGCCCTTTGTGTCGGAGGCCATCGCCAGGCCATCGCTAGCTGCAGCATGTGGCTTTGGGTGGAAACGAACGGCACATCTGTCATACTATATTACCTGTCACTTGTCATCGAGCAAATGCCTGTCTTTTTCATTAGGATTGTTAGGAACTCCGTCTCTCGCCAAAATCATGTGCCTGCAGTCTTCCAGACCCAACCCATCTACAGAATTTGGAAGGAACACCTGGCAATAAGGAAGGGTCTTCGTGTATAGGCCATAGTTTCGATTTACAGTGCAAGGTTTTGGTGTTGCTTCACTAGTCAATGAGGTAGCGCCGTTGGTGTGCAAATATATAAGCTGTTCGACCATGCCGTCTTTCAATTTCGGTTTGACTTCAAGTGCATTCAGCTGGGGTCCACTACTAGCTACTTAGCCTACTACGTATTTCCCGCACACACCGTAGCGGCGTGCCCCGAGAAAATAAAAAATACCAAAGTGCTTCATTGGAAAGTCTTTGGATGAACCCGAAACCTTTGAGATGTGTTCTTTTAGATGCTTTTTGCAAGGCTTGTGTTTACATTCCAAATGCACCGCCTGCGTTCAAGCTTGCTAGTAATCACAAGGGGTGTTTGCCATTCCGGCCTTCATACCATTTGATTGTATCTTTGCTGGTATGCTCAGCATTAGCATCGAGTTAGTACTAGCTAGGAGTTGAAAAGTCAAGACCTAATCGCACATTTGCAAACAGTTTCCAATTCAGATCATCTGCTTTGCTGTGGAATCTCAGCGTTCTGCAATGTGGTTAGCCGACTCACCGAAGTGTCGTTGCTGTTTGCCAAGGCTCTTCTGATCAATGTCGTAGGTCGTTGACCACATGGCCTCACAGTTTGGTTCAAGCCTCCAACCTAATAGCTACGAACAGCGTCCTTGCTCCTAGTAGCAATGCCAGGAGCCCCTAGTAGCGTCCTTTGCTCCTAATAGCGATGGCCTCCAACCTAGATCTGAAAATCCATAAGATCCATCAGTATATCTCTGAGAGAAGCACGTTGGATGCATCTTGACCCACACAACGTTGGAAGCAGGTGCCTCAAGTCCATCTAAGCCGATCTTCAATGAATAAATGAAGCATTGACATGCAACTACGCGCCTAGCGTAAAAAGATCATAGTCACAGTGTTTAACACAAAACAGTGTAATGACATACACTACAGAATCAAAATATAAAAATATATATATATATATTACAATTGCAGTACCACCACAGGGGCAGAGTGTGACGTGTCACGGAACGCCCCGAATCCTGGCCTGTGCGGCGCCCAAGCTCACGCTGCATCTGAGATTGCATGACCAGGTCGTCCGCAGATTCACAGATGTGAAGGAACCTAATAGCAATGGCCTCCAACCTACTAGCGATGGCCTCCAACCCAGAATGAAGTGGATAAGTAGAACCAAAGTTCACAAGTTAGCATAAGTTCATGCTGAAAGATTCGATGACCAGCACAAAGAGCACAACTCCCGAAACCAACAAGAGCACAACTCTAGGGCAGTTTTTTTCCAAGCCTGCTCATTCGGTATCCACCTCGGCTTCTTCTTTCGATGTTTGGTCCGCCGTTTTGTTTCGCTAGAAGCTACTAGTAACAAGTGCATCGCTTCTAGTAACAAGTGCCTTACTAGTAGTAACAAGGACGCTACTAGGGGCTCCTGGCATCGCTACTAGGAGCATTCTTACTACTAGTAATAGAATTAAAAGTATTTTATTTTTTGATAGGTTTATCTATCTTTTTTGCCCGTGGCCCTGCCTCCTTAATTATATACGTAGGCACCCACTTAATTAAGTAAGGGTAACTAAGGGCGACTAGTTGGCTTCTAGTAACTGGACGCAGGATAGTTCACGCTTCCTTGAAGAAGCCCTTGCACTAATCCTTGGGAAACTTAATCCTGAACAATGCTTGTACAAGGCGGGTCTTCACGTGCTTCTTTCTACTAGCAAGAATGCTTTGTAGTCTAAGAGGGAGGGGATTCACTACGCGTCCTTGCTACTAGGAGTAATGGCCTCCAACCTGATAGCGACGGCCTCCAACCTACTTGTTATAGTAGTAAGGCACCTTGCTACTAGTAGCTTCTTGTTACCACTAGTAAGGCACTTGTTACTAGTAGCGATGCACTTGTTACTAGTGCAATTTGTCTAAGACACTGAAGCCAATGGCACTGCCAAGGTCGGGGTTCTCTTGTGCCAGCCGGTAGGACTCCGCCATGGCGTTCACTGATGGCCAGACCTCCAATTTGGAGCTATTTCGAGACATCAAAAACTGAACAAACAGAAACCATTGGATCATTGATTTTTGAACAAAGGTCAGGGCCACATCTGGGGTTTTGCTGAGGCACAATGGGATGGTCCACAAACTCCTTGATGAGTTCACCTGACGCAAGCATTTGACTTGTTCAATTCTTCATCATCTACTCTCGTCCACCAGTTTGCTCTTTGGATCTACTTGGACGTCGTACAAATTATCCGTCAATTCTCCTAGTACTCTATGTTACATATTGTCGAAGCCTGCCAAAACATAAAGTGTGCTAACATAAGGCGTCGCTTACTGATGACGAAAGAGAGGAAAAGGGGAAAAGGGAAACAAACGAAGGGGGGAAAACAGAAAGGGATGCGAAAGTGCCGTGAGCAAATGTGTGCCTTGTAGGATAACTTTGATGTCGCGGCCACGCAAGGACGCAATGAAGTCCTGGTGCACAGCTGATGCAGTGGAAAGCATGCGTCCTTGTTACTAGTAATGTAAATTATATAACTAGAACTTGCCATGAGGACATGGCACAAAAGCATACCAAATGGCCTGGTCTGTGATGATCTCAGGCTGCTTCACTGGTTGATCTCCTTGGAGTTTAGAGATTGAAGCGGAGGAGTCTGACTGAATTGAACACCTTTGGCTCAAACCTTTGGGATTTCTGCTCAAGGCTCTGGGCCAAGTCATAGCTGCCAAAGGCGTCTCAGGCACTGCAGCAACAGCTGCTGTAGGGCTGGGCGTCAGGGCGCCTGAAGAGACATCTCGACGCTCTGAAGACTCTTGGGCGTCACTACTCGTTGCCGGACTTTATATGGACCTTCGGTGTAAAAGAAGTGTATTTGTTATGTTTCTTCCCCGTTTCCCTTTGTTATCTGTCTTTCTTCGGTAGGGACGGGAGGTTGGAGAGTGTATGTTTGCAGGGCCACTGGTGAGAAGGTCGCACATACATGTTTGAATGGGTATCTCAGGCATCAACATGCCCGAACGAAATTGAAATATGTTCAGACATGTTGAGGCTTATCAGTTGTTCTCAATGATGAGTTGTATGTGTGGCATGGAGGCAAACTGCTTGTAATTCTGTGGTTATCATGGCATGGGCATGTGCAAAAGAAGCATGTCCATGCGCTCAAAATATGTGTTGCCATGAAACAATGAGCTGGTGCATGATACACGGTTTAACAAAAAACATATTTTGAGGGTCTCCAAAATGACGTCCGAGGTGAGTCGCGTGGTTGTGTCTTTTTCACAGCGACCATGACACCTGTTCGAAACATTGGGATGGTGGGCCGTTCGCTTTTGAGCGAAAGAGGGCCAATGGATACAAAACGCTGACGATGTTATGAAACCGGTGAAAACGAATGAAACCGATGATCATGTGGTGAAACCAATGTGTGAAACCGATGAACATGTTATGGAAACGATGAAAAATAATGAATTCCCAAGGCCGCGAATGGAGCATCACATATATAACCTTCCCGGGGAACCCCCCGTCCCTTGCTTGGGTCTTTCTTTTGCCCTTTAGAAACGAGCGCTGTTCAACAAGAACGCTGCTTGTTCATGTCATGTGATCTTGCAAAGAGGGACTAAAAGAATGTAGAGGGAGCAATATTGCAAAGAGAAAGTCAACAAATGCATCGCTCTACAAGAGATGTGTTTCTTCTCCTCTACCATAGTGAGTCCACAAGTAAGCGACAGAAAGTGTAGGCCAGACAAGGTTGTAAGCTTCAGCTGCTGAGGAATGGGCAACTGCAGCTGGAACCGCAATTCTCTTCCGGCCATGCTCTTTTAGCGAGGTCCTTCAAGCACAAACCCTGATGACAGAACTCTCCCGTCCCGTTTTCAGTTGGACGAACAAAACTGTCGTCATATCTTACCGAGGCCATCGCGATGGCCATCGCTTTGGTCGTCGAATGTCCTCCAAGTCTGGTGTGCCGTCTGTGGCCTGGAGAGGTGCATCGTCTTAGATCGGTTTGTAAGAAGGCAAGAGGGTAACATGTCTGTTAGAGAAATAACGCCTGGACAAGCTCTGGTTCCTAGAGGATTCCTAGAAAGTCAATTACTTTACTTCGAAATTCCCCACCCTCAAAGAATTGGTCTTCACAAGAGAAAAGCGGTTCGGCGCGAAAAGGATTCTTTATTGAAAACAAAGCCACACATCGAATACTTACTTGTGAGGTTTCTGAACTTCGATATTTTAATGCCTGGCAACCCCACATCCCTGCCAAGTCAACTTGTGGTGGATATGCTGTGGAACTGGTACTTGGGAGCACTCTGGTGAATGTGCTGGTGCTACTCGGGGCCACTCTGGTGGATGTGCTGTGTAAGGGCTACTCTGGGCCACTGTGGGCCACTCTGGTGGATGTGCTGTGTTCTTTGGGTTGCTCTGAGCTACGCTGGGACCACTCTGGTGGATGTGCAGAAGTAGCGAGAAGTCCAAAGTTCTTAAAATCTAACAGCCCCACAGTCCTACGGGTGGGGAAAAAACTGCTTTGATAAGTACAATACAAGTCTACAACTATCCTGCGATCTCTTTGGTAAATGTGCTGTGGAGAAGCTAAGTTGCGCTACTAAAAACTGTGGTTGCTGTGGAAGAGCTAAGTTGAACTACTTAGAAATCAGTTTGTGAATGTGCTGTGGAAGAGCTAGGCAGCTAGGTTTAGCTACTCAGGGATCAGTTTGGTGAATGTGGTGTGAATACTCAGAGGTCATTTTGGTGAATGTGCTGTGGAAGTGCTACGTTGAATTACTGTACTCAGGGATTACTTTGGTGAACAGGGATCAGTTTGGCGAGCGTGCTGTGAAAGAGCCACTTAGGGCTACTCAGAGATCACCTTGGTGAACGTGCTGTGGAAGAGCTACTTTGGGCTACTCCGGGATCTCTTTGGTGAACATGCTGTGGAAGTGCTGCGTTGAACTACTCAGGGACCACTTTGGTGAGTGTGCTATGGAAGAACTGCTTTGGGCTACTCAGGGATTACTTTGGCGAGTGTAATGTGGAAGAGCTAAGTTGGGCTAGTCAGGGATTCCTTTGGTGAACGCGCTGTGAAAAAGCTACTTTGGGCTTCTCAAGGATTACTTTGGTCAACGTGCTGTGGAAGATCTAAGTTGGGCTACTCAGGGATTACTTTGGCGAGTGTGGTGTGGAAGAGCTAAGTTGGGCTAGTCAGGGATTCCTTTGGTGAACGTGCTGTGGAAAAGCTACTTTGGGCTTCCCAAGGATTACTTTGGTCAACGTGCTGTGGAAGATCTAAGTTGGGCTACTCGCGGACTACTTCGGTGAGTGTGCTGTGGAAGGGCTAAGCTACTCAGGGACCGCTTTGGTGAGTGTGCTGTGGAAAAGCTAAGTTGGGCTACTCAGAGACCACCTCGTGAGTGTGCTATAGAAGAGCTAAGTTGCGCGACCGGGCGTACTGAAGTCCGAAGTTCTAAAAACCTAACAACCGACAGGCCTACGGGTGAGAAAAACGCAACTTTTGTTGGCTTGATAAGTACATTGCAACTCTACAACTACCTTGGAATCACTTTGGTAAATGTGCTGTGGAGAAGCTAAGTTGCGCTACTAAGAACTGTGGTTGCTGTGGAAGAGCTAAGATGAGCTACTTAGAAATCAGTTTGTGAATTTGCTGTGGAAAAGCTAGGTTTAGCTACTCAGGGATCAGATTGGTGAATGTGGTGTCAATACTTAGAGGTCATTTTGGTGAATGTGCTGTGGAAGCGCTACGTTGAACTACACAGGGATTACTTTGGTGAACAAGGATCACTTTGGCAAGCGTGCTGTGGAAGAGTTAAGTTGAACTAGTCAGAGATTACTTTTGTGAGTGTGCTGTCAAAGAGCTACGTTGAACTACTCAGGGATTACTTTGGTGAACAGGGACCACTTTGGTGAGTGTGCTGTGGAAGAGCTACTTTGGGCTACTCAGGGACCACTTTGGCCAGTGTGCTGTGGAAGAGCTAAGTTGCGCTACTCAAAGGCCTCTTTGGCCAGTGTGCTGTGGAAGAGCTAAGTTGTGCTACTCAGGGGCCACTTTGGCCAGTGTGCTGTGGAAGCGCTAAGCTGGGCTACTTAGGGACCACTTTGGCCAGTGTGCTGTGGAAGAGCTACTTTGGGCTACTCAGGGACCACTTTGGTGAGTGTGCTGTGGAAGAGCTACTGTTGGCTACTCAGGGACCACTTTGGCCAGTGTGCTGTGGAAGAGCTAAGT